CGCCATTCTCCTGCCTCAGCCTCCCCAGTAGCTGGGACTACAGGTGCCTGCCACCAGGCAGGCTAATTATTTTATATTTTTAGTAGAGACAGGGTTTCACCGTGTTAGCCAGGATGGTCTCGCTCTCCCAACCTTGTGATCCACCCGTCTCAGCCTCCCAAAGTGCTGGGATTACAGGCGTGAGCCACCACGCCCGGCCAAAACTTTTAAAATGGATTCATACACAGTTTAATAAAAATATCAACTATCTCTCTTTAAAAAACTCAGGAGTTCGAGACCGGCCTGGCCAACATGGTGAAACCCCGTCTCTACTAAAAATACAGAAAATCAGCTGGGCGTGGTGGCAGGTGCCTGTAATCCCAGCTACTCAGGAGGCTGAGACAGGAGAGTTGCTTGAACCCAGGAGGCAGAGGTTGTAGTGAGCCGAGATCGCACCATTGCACTCCAGCCTGGGCGACAAGAGCAAAACTTCGTCTCAACAACAACAAAAATAAAAACCAATCCACTTAATACCTCTAATCCCAGCACTTCAGGATGCTGAGGCAGGTGGATTGCTTGAGCCCAGGGTTCAAGACCAGCCTGGGCAATATGGCAAAACCCTGTCTCTACAAAAATTAGGCATGGTGGCACATGTCTGTAGCCCCAGCTACTCGGAGACTCAGGTGGGAGGATCACTTGAGCCCCGGAGGTTGAGGCTGCAGTGAGTTGAGATCGTGCCATGACTTTTTAGAGAGACCCTATCTCTTAAAAGCAAAAACAAAAAGCAAACCAGAGTCCCAGTAATGTTTAGAACAAAGTCAGACCATAAAAGGGTACATAACATAAAAGTGTGAAATTCTCAAAAAATATTTTATCAAAGTAAACATGTTTATATGGAAAAACCAGAAAAAGTCAAAGAAAATGTGAAACCCACTGTGATCCTCTAACCAGAGTTAACCAAGTCGAACATTCTGGGAATATTTCTTTCCTGTTCTTTTCCTGAGAATATTTTTATGTGGTTGACGGGAGTGCATAGTTCTGGGTCCTGTTTCCCCTTGAATGTTGCAACATATTAATAAAAATGCCTGATGAAAAACAAAAAATAGCTGGGTGTAGTGGCAGGCTCCTGTAATACCAGCTAGTAGGGAGGATGAGGCAGAAGAATTGCTTTAACCTGGGAGGCAGAGGCTGCAATGAGCCGAGATCACGCCATTGCACTCCAGCCTGGGTGACAGAACAAAACTCCGTCTCAAAAAAAAAAAGCCTGGTGGGCAGTTTCTATGGCTGCCTCAGCCATTCCATGGATGACTGTCATTTAGTTAATGGCACCTCCAGCATTTAGGTTGTATATAGTTCTTGGTTTCTAACATAATACCGGCCAGGTGTGGTGGCTCATGCCTGCAATCCCAGCACTTTGGGAGGCCAAGGCGGGTGGATCACGAGTTCAGGAGATCGAGACCATCCTGACTAACACAGTGAAACCCCGTCTCTACTATTTTTCTTTTTTATTTTTTTTTTTGAGACGGAGTCTCCCTCTGTCGCCCAGGCTGGAGTGCGGTGGCCGGATCTCAGCTCACTGCAAGCTCTGCCTCCCGGGTTCACGCCATTCTCCTGCCTCAGCCTCCCGAGTTGGGACTACAGGCGCCCGCCACCTCGCCCGGCTAGTTTTTTTGTATTTTTTAGTAGAGACGGGATTTCACCGGGTTAGCCAGGATGGTCTCAATCTCCTGACCTCGTGATCCGCCCGTCTCGGCCTCCCAAAGTGCTGGGCTTACAGGCTTGAGCCACCGCGCCTGGCCCCGTCTCTACTATTAATACAAAAAATCAGCTGACTGTGGTGACACACACCTGTAGTCCCAGCTACTCAGGACACTGAGGCAGGAGAATCGCTTGAACCTGGGAAGCGGAGGTTGTCGGAGCAAGATTGCGCCACTGCACTCCAGCCTGGGCGACAGAGTGAGACTCCGTCTCAGAAAATAATAATAAAATAATGCCATATAAGGAACCTTCTTACATAAAGAGGGTATTTCTCTTTCCCACCCTTGTATTTAGGATCACTGCAGGCCATTCTTCGCAGTTCCATTGTTAGTGGTGGAAGGTGCCACCACGCCCAGCTAATTTTTGTATTTTTAGTGAAGACGGGGTTTTACTATATTGACCAAGATGGTCTCGATCTCTTGACCTTGTGATC